TTTTATACTGTAGAGCAGTTGTTTTGAATATTGGGGCCAATTTTGCCTCCCTAGGGGACATTTGATAATACCTTAGACATTTTTTTTTTTAAGATTTTATTTATTTATTTGTCAGAGAGAGAGAGGGAGAGAGAACGAGCACAGGCAGACAGAATGGCAGGCAGAGGCAGAGGGAGAAGCAGGCTCCCTGATGAGCAAGGAGCCCGATGTGGGACTCGATCCCAGGACGCTGGGATCATGACCTGAGCCGAAGGCAGCTGCCTAACCAACTGAGCCACCCAGGCGTCCCGACCTTAGACATTTTTGATTGTTGTACTTGGGTAGGGGGTGATACTGGCATCTTGTGGATCAGGAATTGTGCTTAACAGTCTACAAAATAGAACAAAGAAGTGTCTGGCCCTAATAGTGTTTACATGGAGAAACTGCTTAGCCATGGAACTTAGAAAGAGCTAGATGAGCAACACTTTCAAGTATCAAGCTCAGGACTTACGTAGGAAAATAAAGGATCTTGCTTTCTCATGATCCAATTAACTGTGCAGTATCGCAGGGGAGTAAAACTTGCTATCCCAAAATATGTCTCTTTGGCATATGAATTATTTTAGGCTGATTATTTTTAAGAAACAGAAGACTCAAGAAGTTTTGCTTTTTTGCCTCTCTCCTAACTGCTTGAAAGAATTTAGATAGAGGACCTATTCCAAGAGGAGAGCTAACACCAGAGATAATTATAGTAAAATACGAACTAGGTGTGGTAGACAAGGAGGAACCTAGCAAGGTATATTTTGACCAAAGTCCTCTCTATGTCTCAGCAAACATTTGTTTACCAAACATGTATTCTTCCCATTTTTCCTGAGAATTGCATTCCTTCATTTTGAAGCCCCAGACCCCTACCCTTATTCCTGAGTCCAAAATAACATATATATCTCATCTTGCTTGACTATTTTTGGAATCTCTCATGTTTATGTGGATCCCCTGTATGTACATTATTAAATTTGATTTCTCCTGTTTATCTGTTTCATGTCGATTTAGTTCTTAGAGCAGCCAGAAGAACCTTAAAGGATAAAATATAAATTTTCCTCCCCAACAGCATCATCTGGCCATTGCCAATTTAAAATCTTCCTAGCTTTAAAATACGCACTTTGGATGCCAATGGATCTCTTTCCCAACAACGTCTTCCTTTCTAAGCTGCTTCAGAATTTTCAGTATGTATTTAGAACTGAGGAAGTAAAAATAAGAAGAAAGAAAAGGGAGACATTGATGGTAGAAAGAAATAGAGGAGTAGACTAAAATATAGAAATCTGAATGACTCTCTCTCTTAAGTTCTTCCTTCTTCCCTTGCTCCCTCTCACTTCTTTTAGTTCTTCTCTCTTCCTTTCAACAGATACTTTTTTTTTAATTTTTTATAAACATATATTTTTTCCCCCAGGGGTACAGGTCTGTGAATCTCCAGGTATACACACTTCATAGCACTCACCATAGCACATACCCTACCCAATGTCCATAACCCCACCCCCCCTAACCCCCCTACCCCCAGCAACCCTCAGTTTGTTTTGTGAGATTAAGAGTCACTTATGGTTTATCTCCCTCCCAATCCCATCTTGCTTCATTTACTCTTCTCCTACCCCCTTAACCCCCCATGTTGCATCTCCTCTCCCTCTATCAGGGAGATCATATGATAGTTGTCTTTCTCCGATTGACTTATTTCGCTAAGCATGATACCCTCTAGTTCCATCCAAGTCGTCACAAATGGCAAGATTTCATTTCTTTAGATGGCTGCATAGTATTCCATTGTGTATATATACCACACCTTCTTTATCCATTCGTCTGTTGATGGACATCTAGGTTTTTTCCATAGTTTGGCTATTGTAGACATTGCTGCTATAAACATTCGGGTGCACGTGCCCCTTCGGATCACTACGTTTGTATCTTTAGGGTAAATACCCAGCAGTGCAATTGCTGGGTCATAGGGTAGTTCTATTTTCAACATTTTGAGGAACCTCCATGCTGTTTTCCAGAGTGGCTGCACCAGCTTGCATTCCCACCAACAGTGTAGGAGGGTTCCCCTTTCTCCACATCCTCGCCAGCATCTGTCATTTCCTGACTTGTTAATTTTAGCCATTCTGACTGGTGTGAGGTGGTATCTCATTGTGGTTTTGATTTGTATTTCCCCAATGCCGAGTGATATGGAACACTTTTTCATGTGTCTGTTGGCCATCTGGATGTCTTCTTTGCAGAAATGTCTGTTCATGTCTTCTGCCCATTTCTTGACTGGATTATTTGTTCTTTGGGTGTTGAGTTTGCTAAGTTCTTTATAGATTTTGGACACTAGCCCTTTATCTGATATGTCGTTTGCAAATATCTTCTCCCATTCTGTCAGTTGTCTTTTGGTTTTGTTAACTGTTTCCTTTGCTGTGCAAAAGCTTTTGATCTTGATGAAATCCCAATAGTTCATTTTTGCCCTTGCTTCCCTTGCCTTTGGCGATGTTCCTAGGAAGATGTTGCTGCGGCTGAGGATGAAGAGGTTGCTGCCTGTGTACTCCTCAAGGATTTTGATGGATTCCTTTCTCACATTGAGGTCCTTCATCCATTTTGAGTCTATTTTCATGTGTGGTGTAAGGAAATGGTCCAATTTCATTTTTCTGCATGTGGCTGTCCAATTTTCCCAACACCATTTATTGAAGAGGCTGTCTTTTTTCCATTGGACATTCTTTCCTGCTTTGTCGAAGATTAGTTGACCATAGAGTTGAGGGTCTATTTCTGGGCTCTCTATTCTGTTCCATTGATCTATGTGTCTGTTTTCGTGCCAATACCATGCTGTCTTGATGATGACAGCTTTGTAGTAGAGCTTGAAGTCTGGAATTGTGATGCCACCAACTTTGGCTTTCTTTTTCCATATTCCTTTGGCTATTCAAGGTCTTTTCTGGTTCCATATAAATTTTAGGATTATTTGTTCCATTTCTTTGAAAAATATGGATGGTACTTTGATAGGAATTGCATTAAATGTGTAGATTGCTTTAGGTAGCATAGACATTTTCACAATATTTATTCTTCCAATCCAGGAGCATGGAACATTTTTCCATTTGTGTCTTCCTCAATTTCTTTCATGAGTACTTTATAGTTTTCTGTGTATAGATTCTTAGTCTCTTTGGTTAGGTTTATTCCTAGGTATCTTATAGTTTTGGGTGCAATTGTAAATGGGATTGACTCCTTAATTTCTCTTTCTTCTGTCTTGTTGTTGGTGTAGAGAAATGCAACTGATTTCTGTGCATTGATTTTATATCCTGACACTTTACTGAATTCCTGTACCAGTTCTAGCAGTTTTGGAGTGGAGTCTTTTGGGTTTTCCACATATAGTATCATATCATCTGCAAAGAGTGATAGTTTGACTTCTTCTTTGCCGATTTGGATGCCTTTAATTTCTTTTTGTTGTCTGATTGCTGAGGCTAGGACTTCTAGTACTATGTTGAATAGCAGTGGTGATAACGGACATCCCTGCCGTGTTCCTGACCTTAGCGGAAATCTTTCAGTTTTTCTCCATTGAGAATGATATTTGCGATGGGTTTTTCATAGATGACTTTGATAATATTGAGGTATGTGCCCTCTATCCCTACACTTTGAAGAGTTTTGATCAGGAAGGGATGCTCAACAGATACTTTTTTAAAAAAAATGTGCTAAGTATGGTGTTTAGATGAGATTATCTTCTGAGGGCACTTTCTTTCTTTTTTTCTTTTAATTTTATTTATTTATTTGACAGAGATTACAAGTAGACAGAGGGGCAGGCAGAGAGAGAGAAAGGGAAGCAGGCTCCCTGCTGGGCAGAGAACGCGATGCAGGATTCGATCCCAGGATCCTGGGATCATGACCTGAGCCGAAGGCAGAGGCTTTAACCCACTGAGCCACCCAGGTGCCCCAGAGGGCACTTTATTTCTAATAAGCATTTTTTTTCACAAAATCCTTTTTATATTTATTATCTCATTTGAGTCTTTCTATAAACCTCATTTTATAGATAAGTAATCCAAGACTCAGAGAGTGTATGTGAACTTGCCAAGGGTAATAGTAGAATAGGAACTTGTTTCTATACTGTTCTTTCATCTATATAATGCTGACATCCGTATGAGGGTTATGAAGATATGAGGTTCTATATTGCCATATACTTATGAGAAATGGTATTTATTTTGGATTATAAAATCACATAAAACACATGCTTTTAAAAAGTGATGTACTGTCTTGGGGATCTGTAATGAAACTGACTCAAAATAACACTAAAATGAGGGTTCTGTTGAATTGCTATTAGGTATCAAGCATAACACAAAGCTCATCAAACCCCTCACATATCTTATGAGTTAAATTGTTTTCATCCTAGATCTGAGAGAAGTTGAATAATCTTAGTACACAAGACTAAACTTGAAAGTAGTATAACGGTAAGCAAAAAAAAAAAATTTATTTTGAGTGACCTTCCAATTATGTTGCCTATATTAACTGGTATTTAGCTCTAATGAATAAAGGTGTCCCCCAACAATACATTTTAATAATTTTGGGTCCAAAATTTTATATACAAACAACCGAAATGTTGGTTAATCACCTTGCATACATGCTAATCGTTTATTCATATCTTGCATTTAAAGGAAAAGGGTAACTTTCTGACTAAATGATTTAAATGCAAATATTAATACTAGACTAGTAACTATTCTTTTGAAGAATTTATTCATTAGGAAAACCCATGTTCCACTTACTGCTACTGTTCTGAGTCAGACCACTTGTTACAATATTGGCTCTGATTAGAAAATCTATGAGAATATTAAAAAGTCCCTGGAAACCTCTAAGTCATGGATTTGAATCCTATTTTATCCAGGGTTTGCATCTTAACATAACTTGGAACATTGCTGGAAAATATAAGATGTCAAAGTCTATGGAAAACTTGGAGTTGTCTCTCCTCAGTCCACAGCAGAACTTGTCTAGTGTTCTAAATTCTGTCTCTAAGGCAAACAAAATAGCAGCTAAGGCTCAAATGAGTGCGGACAACTCCAGATCTCTAGGAGGTAAATTTGCTAAATAATGTAATTTCTGTTATTTTTATTTTTCAAGATGAATGAAGACTTAGTGAAAGCATTACCTTTGGAAAGCGTAGCTTGAAGCTCCAGGGGAAAGGATGACAGTTATGCACATCCCCTGTACTCATTTTATTTTCTGATTCTCTTAAGAGCCAACTTTTGCTCCCTGTTATTTCTATGGGTTCATGCTTATAATGGCTTGTTTTTTGTTTGTTTGTTTTTTTAGTGATTTTTGATTGTGAACTCACTTAGGGAAAATTTGTCATGAGACCTGGGTTTAAGTTCTGCTTCTACAGGGATAATGAATGTTTGCTTCTGCCAATTGCCTGTGGTCACTACCAACTTCAAAATAAATTATCCTTTTGAGGTTTTTAGGAAACCCAACTGAATTTACTCTGCAGAGTATAACTCTGCAGAGTGTAACCAAAAACAATAAATTGTTTTTTAAGCTGAAATTTCCTGCTGACTCTTGTGTGGGTGCTCCCCCCTTTAATTCACCTTTTTCAGTGAAAATGTAGGCATTCAGGTATATAGACTTATAGAGATGCTTCCTATTGGACATTCACCCTTGGAAAGAGTCCACTGTCTCCTGTCATCTGTGGCTATCAGTGCTGCCATATCAGAACTGAAGCTCAAGGACACCAGACATGGGTACCTAAGTAGACACCAGACATGGGTACCTAATTTTTTTCCTCTCAGAATTTTACTAATTTGCTCAACTTAGATATATTTATAATTAGCTAAATTTACAAATAATAGCTAGCATTATTTTTTTATTCCTAGTGAGACAATTTTTAAGGTTCACAATACTGCCAGAGATGATGATTCTCTAAAATTTATAAAAGTCTAAAATACTTCTATATAAACATGTTCACTTAACAATGTACTCAGCCATGTTCTTATATTAGTACATGTAGGCTTGACTTTTTTAAATCAATGGCTACCAAATAAATACTAAGGATAAACCATAATTTATCTAGCAAGTTCTCTATTAATGGATATTTATGTTGTTTTCAATTTTTTGTTATTATGAAGAAAACCTCAAAATAGTCAACATATATATATTTGTAGATTTCTATATCTAAATTAGATCTCTAGAGTTAGAATTGCTAAGTTAAAGAATATAATGAATTTTGATATTTCCAATTTTCTTCTCAGTATTTGCAACAATTAATTTGAATAAGAAAGAAAAAAAATCCAGTGTGCCTGAATCCTCAATAACTTTCTCTAATGGGTTTTATTGAGCATATTATTATTAATTTGAGGGAATAGTTTGTTTCTTAACCTTGTTCTAGAATTTATCCCTTGGAGAGAAAAACTGTATTACAGAAATATGCATGAAATGTTTTTAACAGATATTTTTCATGCCATATAAGGACTTGATTCAAACCAATTTTTCTCATATATAACTGAAATACAATCTTTCCAGGGCAATGCCATTTGATTTCTCATCTGACTGTGAATGTCCTAACTGCTTGGAGAGTACTCAGAATGAACCTGATTGGAATCCCTGTTTCAACAAGAGTCGTAATGACTCTTTATATTCAAGATCAAGAAAGAAATCCATGCTTTCTTCTGGTGTGCAGTGCTTTCCTTCTCAGTGTTGTTCCACCAGGCCAGAGAGTGACACCAAAGAAGACTCAGGCTTTCTTCCCTCAGAGGAGGAAAGCTACATGGAGTCTTCTCAAAACAACTATGTCAGTCTGAACCCTGAGGGCATTACAAGGAAAATCAGACCATTGAAAGAGTTGACTGTCCAGGAATTACTGAGGGAGTTCGGGGATAGTGGGAAATTCCAGCCAAATTCCACGTCTGTAGGCCACTTTAGAGATCAGGTGGTAATGAAGTTCAGAAGAGCTCTGTATTATTCCGGAATTTGGGTGACACATGTCCAAGGCTACAGACTTGAAAAGCATTTGTCAGCTAATTATTTCAAGAGAAACCCTGGTTGTTTACATCGGCTGGTCCCCTGGCTGAAACGGGAACTAACAGCTGTTTATGGAGATTATGGCTATACAGTGAAGAATATCCTATCCACTATTCTCCAACACATGACAGAATATGATCTGGACAGTGAGTCCTTCATTCACCTCCTGGAACCTTATCTCCAACAACACACTCACCATTTTCTGCATGAGTTTATCAGTTTTGTTCATTCACCTTATAACATGGAAACCTATGACCAACGAGCCATTTATCAATGTCCTTCCATTTCACCATGGGTAAAAAAGAAGTCCATAGCATCAGCTTCTGTTTTGCCTTTGTCTAAGGATCAGGCTCTACTGGCATCTCAGCATGATACAAGGCAGTCTAGAAATACCCGGGACCAATGGAATAATGAGCAGAAGCCTCTGTCAGGCTTAAAACCATTTCCAAATGGTAACTCTTCCTTGAAGAAATCTGAATTCTCACTACTTCATCATAAAACAGCAAGCAAAATCCATGCTTGGATCAAAGACAAACCAGAATCAGGAGATCAAAAAGGCACAACTTCTGCTAATATATTCCTGAATTATACTACACCAAGGGAAAGGGGCCCAAGCTTACGGAATTGCAAAAAAAAAGTTCAAGAGAGGAAAATGGAAGGAATAAAGTTGCTTCCTGGTCACGTCCAGGATCTGGGAAAGAGTGAAACAACTGCATGTACTTTCAGTTCCCCAGCAATTTTTAATCAGGGGCAGCCATTTCAATACAATTTAAGAGAAGAAAGGATTTTGAGTCCTGACCAGGAGATCAACTTCCAGAAAAAAGAAGCAGAAAAAAATACATACTCAGATTCTTCACCGAAGATTTTTCAAAGAAGATTGCCCAGAGAAAGATCCTTGCTAAGCTGCAAATCCAGAAAGAGAGACCCTTCTTGGAGCTGTATTTCAGAAATTGCCCTTTCTTCTAAGAGAAATAGTAGGAAACTGAGCTCTTTTAGAAAAAAGAGATTGAAGGGCAAACAGTCCTCCCAATTTGCAGAAGCTGGTTCACATTTCAGTAGAAGAATCCAAAGACCATCAAGGTCCAGTACTCACAGATCCAAATCTTGGTGTGTTGGGCTTACAAAGAGATCTTTAAGCAGAGAATCAAGTAATCCCTCTCTCAGAGGAAGTCACAGAAGCGAATGCTTCACCCAAAATATATGCTGTGACCACTCAAAAGAAAATAATGTGCATAGTTATGAATCCAACTGTGGAAGAGCATCTTCGACCACAGTCCAATATGCGAAACTTCCTTCAACTTCTGGGAAGAGACCCAAGTGTTCTTCTAAAAGTGAGAGTACTTCCCAAGATGGAAGCCACTGTAATAGTCTCACATGCCCACAGATTGAGAAACACAGATCCCCAAATAAACAAGAAATGAGGCAAAAATCTACATTTCCAAGAGGTGGCAAAACCAGAGCAGTTAGGCACAGAAAAAACAAATGCCAGTGTCTAGATAAAAAGACCACAAAGGAAATCAGTGATGAAGTTGGGGATCTGAATGATATAAGGCAAAGGAGTAGTCTTTCTGAGTGTGCACCTGCCTGCAGGAGGCAAATCCAAAAGAAAAAAAAGTCAGGTCATCAGAAATGTCACTGGGCCAAGAATGAACATAAAGGAGACAAAGTATCAGAAACACAAGGTTGCAGATTGTTTTGAAAGGCAAATGAGTCTATTCAGTTAGCCACCAAGGATCTTTGAAAATAATAATATTAATCTGGAAAAGACTCATCCCATTGCTTTGTAACTGGAACTAAAAGCCTGATGAATTAAACTTAAGGCTTCCTGTAGAGACAAATGCATATTATTAAATTGGCCATAAATGTAAATATTATTTTCGTCTGCCTTTTTTTCTTGTGAACTGAATTCTTAAAACATTTGGCTTTTTTCGTTCCTAGATTTAACTATGAAGATTATCTGCCAAAAGTTGCAAACACCACAAAGACCATATTAATGATAGGAGTATATGTTACTTAACAAGTTATGGATATTAAGTACTACTAAGCACAAGTGTTGTTTTTTCAAAAAAAAGATATATTTATTTTTTTAAATATATAATCTATGAATTCTATAAACTATTCTATAATATAATTATTAAGTATATATACGTGTAAATGTGTGTGTGTGTGTATAAATAAAAAATAAAAATTCCAAGCACTCTCCCTCCAATGTAACTGGGAAATTCTGAGAGAGACACTGAGAAGGGATGCTGATCCCAAGTTGTAAATAGAAATGAAATCTGGCTTTTCTGGGTTCATTGTAGTCACAAAGCACCTAAATGTAGCACAGGACTCAAAGTCCAAATTAAAAAAAATAAAATTATGTCAATAACTCCCTTTTAAAAGTAATCAAGACATGTTCTTGCAGAAATCTTAGAAAATCTGTTTAACAGATATAAATGTGTCCTGGTAATTCAACTGTAAAATTGTTAAGATTCTTTTTTTTTTTTTTAACCTACACTTTCATTAGTTCAGGTGAGCAGTCTACTGCCAACCGTGAACTAATTCTTTCATGGTAAAAATTCCTGGAAAATATATAAAAAGTCCTTAAATTAGGAACAGGAAATCAATTGCAATGGTTCAAAGTCACTACAGTTCAGTAGTAGTTTACAATAAAAAGGAAAATAAAACTGTTATTGTGGTCAAAAGTATGCTTATGAGCTAACAATATTAGGCTGCACTTAAATGTAGATATGGAGAACTTCTCCAGGAAGGGAAAACCAAAATGGACATCAAATAGATGAATAGATATTCTCTAGGAAAATATATTTCTCTGAATGATTTGGAAAATGAATTTGGCTTTAAGTAGAAAGTTACAGGGAAGTGATTTTTGCTTAATGAAAGAAAGCCTGTTCTATTAGAGTGGTCATATGGTTCCTATCAGAATGGACATATGGTAGATCAAGAGGCCAGTGAAGGGAAAGAGCTCTCATCCTTGGAAGTGTTCATGCTTGGCTGCATCCCAACAATGTGGGAAAACTAACTGGATGTTTTATACATTCCCATTTGACTCAAAGATTCCAAGATTCATTAAAAAGTCACAGACATTTGCTAACGAACCAAAAACATCATACTTATAAAATGTGCAACATCTTTTCATGGATGGGAAAAAGAAAAATATTCAATGATAACAAAGTAACAGTAATTAATATTGAAAGCTTACTATTTGTGACACACACACACACACACACTCACACTCTATCAGGTATTATTTGAATTCACATTTTATGGATGAAGGAAACTGAAGCTTAATGCTATTACTTGCTGAAGGGCACAAAGCCAATAAATGTTAAGTGTGCATTGAAACCCAGATGGCCTTCCCCCCTCCAGAGTCACTGATCTTAAACCCAACATGACATTGCTTACTTTTTTGTTGTTGTCATCTTTTTCTTTTTTCTTTTTTTAATTTATTTTTGTGTGTGTGTGTGTGTTCCAAAATTCATTGTTTATCAATTACCTACTATCTTTCACATTCTGGTGAACATATTCACAAGCACTATTATTTTACCTTTACAAGTGAATAAAGTTGGTTTAACTATGCCTGTGTTTTCAATGAAGAAAATAAGTTTCAAAGAAGTTTTTTTTAATCATAATGAGCACCAGAGCTGAAAGCCAAACTGTAAGTCTAACTGCCCATGCTTTGTGTTTATATAGCCTGTCATGGTTGACCGAGCTTTTCAAATCTAACTCAAAAGTACCTTATGACCCTTAATCACCTATTCTTCTCTGCTACTGAGAGGACTTTTTCATTCAAAATCCAGAGTACTAATATAATCATGCAGGGCAAGGCATTAAGGGGTCACTTTTACTTATTTATAAGGATAAAAACCAATTCCTCTTTCCCAAGTTCACCCTGAATTGTCCTTCTGATGCTAATGGGGGTTCATCTCAGCCAGCTAGGAGAAGGCAGGTGAATGATTTTCAATACACATGCTTCAATTCACACAGTATCTTCTATGGCATGTGGGTCAGTTGACTCTCTGAAGCCCAGGGCCAGTTTTCATCTCTGTCCTTGACTCTAATGTTCTTTGGGCTGACACTTCTTTAGGTACATTTCATCTATCTAATGAAAAGCAGGTAAGGAGAAATGAGGTATTTGAAGATAACCTGAGAGTCACTGTCAGGTGAGAATATTTAAAAAAATGAGTTATTAATCCTTATATCTTTCTATCATGCATATTTTAGCTGATGTATATTTATCAATCCTCACAGCTAATGCTTAGGAAAGACTTTTTCATCTGTGTTCACTGGAACCATGAATGCATCTTTCTAACTGGTTTCTCTGCTTCTGTGCATGCGTTTTCTCTCCAGAACATCATCTACAGTTATTCTAATACACATCCTTATTTGTTTAATTTCCCTGCCTAAAATTCTTCATTGGTTCCCTCTTCCAGAGAGGAAAAAGTCCAAATTCTTTATTCTTATAAATAAGGACCCTTTGGCCCCCGTCCATTCCTATACTGTTCTGTATAAAACAAAACACATAAACATACATATGTAGTATGCACAAGGACATATAAACATATCCTTACATCTGCACACATCATCTCTTACCAATAGTATAGGCTGTAATCTCCCTGCCTTAAACAAATGCATTCCCTTTCCAACACTTGTTCCAGTGTCTTCCATATAATAGGTGTTCAATAAACACATTTCCTATAATTGGTCTGGTACTAGTGAACTGTGTGATCTTGGATAAGTTCCCTGTAATTCGGTTTTCACCTTAGTTAAATGAAATTGATTCAGTCAATTTTTTTGAATCACTGATCTAATATTCCATAAAACAACGTCACCATATTACATCTGAACGTTTTCCATACTTCCTTATGTCAGTGATTTTGATTGGACTCATCTTTCACATTTACCTGGCTTTGTCACATTATTGGGATCCATGGTAGATTTTAAATTGTTTACTGGCTTATGATATAATTTGAACTTGGAAACACTCTGCTAGAGGATCTTCTAGATTTCCTTCAATTTCTAATCTATAAGTCTTCAATTTTTAAAATTTTAATTAAGTTAGTCATTTCAAAGTATCTGTTGAGCTACTAGTATTATACAGTGAAATACCAACAACAAATTTTGTCACATTGTTAAGTGACCCAAAGTAAAATTTTAGGACATTGTTTAGAAATACTGTCATGTGCAGATTTATCTCATTGATACATAATTTATTATTGTATAAAGTGTCTGAACACAGGTAGCTTCAACAGTTTCAGTAATGTGCAACTATAAAGCTGCTTAGGGAGCTGACAGGTATATTTTTTATGTTAGGTTTCAGAACAAGCAAATATAAATATTATTTTTATATACCAACTACTACACAAAACATTTTGAAATATAAAGATTCTCCATATACAATTATTCATTGAGAACACAGAAGAACAAGGTACTATACTTAAGCATAAATATAGTGCCTGGATGTCACAACAAGCAAGGAACAGATGCAACAGCCTAATTGCTAATGCAAGGCAGTCATCAGTTCTCCCCTACTTAACCATATAATGATTTCCCAATCTCTACTGTCTATTGCATCGTGTTCTTTGCTTTTTCCTTTTCAAATGTGATCCAAAATCCCATGATGCAGTGATACCAGTAGAAGGCTGGTTCCTCAGTCAAGCCGAGGCAGTCTTCATGCTGACTTCTTAGCTTAGAATACTCTTTGCTCCAGTGTTGATTAGACAACACCTACTTTCTAGAATCTATTCAATGGATACTGTTTTTTGAAGCTTTACTTGACTATTTCCCCAAAGCTCAAGCTGTTATAAGTGAAGAGTAATTTCCTTTGTGTCCCCATACTAACTTTATTGAAACATCAAAAATGCTTATTTTGACTTTTTACCTTACATGTCTGAGTCCACCTTCCCCTTCTCCCTGCCCCAAGAAAGAGATCTTCTTTAAGAGAAGGACCAGGCTGGTGCATAGTAGGTGCTTAATGAGTGCCGAATGGATAAATGAACAATGAAGGAGATAGAACAAAGTTTTAGATGAGTTAAGTAGGATCACTGGTTTTAAGAGCCATCATGAGGAAACAGCAACTCAAAAAGAATCCCAACGTGATCCATTCTAATCACTGCTCCATATTAGAACCTAAAAGTCGGTCAACTGTGTCCAAGCAAGGTAAATCCCCAAGAGATTCTAAAGGATGCCTTAATATAATCATCATGTTTTAATATGAAATTCTCTATGTACTGTATTAAAATGACACTTGCTACTTGATAGAAATTTAGAATCTCAGCCTCCAACCTGAATCTGGATCTGCATTTTTAATATTATCTCTGGTGATTAATATGCATACTATTTTGAGAAACACTCCTTTAAAATAACTATTGGAAGGCTGAACTCCACTGAAAAATTTGTTTTTTTAAATTAGTTTCAGAGGTAGAATTTAGTGATTCATCAGTTGCATATAATATCCAATGCTCATTACATCAAGTGCCTCCTTAATGCCCATCACCCAGTTATCCCTTCCTCCCATCCATACCCCTCCAGCAACCCTCAGCTTCTTTCCCAGAGTTCAGTGCCTCTTATAGTTTACTTCCCTCTCAATTTTCATCTTATTTTATTTTTCTTTCCCTTCCCCTATGTTCACTTGTTTTGTTTCTTAAGTTCTAGAAATTATGGTTTCATCCAAACTTTTAAAGGAGGGGAAGAGATAGAGAGACTATATAACTTTAACATTACATGTATAACAAACAGATGGACCATTCTCTACATGGAACATACATGAATGTAAATTCACAGGCAGAAATGCATTGATAGTGTATGTTTATGAAGTCCATTAGGATCAAGCTCTGATCGAAGGAAGCTTTA